GTATTGGACCTAACTGTTCATATCTGTGGATCGCAGTACAAATCGGTATTGTTTATATCGTTACAATAGTTCTGAACGGCGTCAGGAGTGCAAGAGCTCTCTTCATTCGACTGACTACGATTTCTGTTAGTAGTCACCGGTTAGCAATCGATTCATGAAGAGAACAAGCATGGTAGGCAGCGTAAGGGCTCCTACATGTCTTCTAACACTGCCCCAACTACTATCAACTCTATTAGGGGCTTAAAGCACGCTAGTTTGGTACTCGCTCAAAATGACAAGGGGCCACATGGTGGAAAAATGACGAAGAATCGAAGCTAAACCGCCAAAAACCTTCAAAAAAGCTAAGAAGCCCACTTACGTTCTATCCTATGTCTTATAGAATGTGGACAGGTACTATCAATTTCCCAATCTGGTCCACGAGGGACGGGCAGACTGGCAGTTACAGATCTACTGAATAGATCCGTTTGAACGCCACAGTGCAATAATCTATTGTCACTATGGTTATCGGCCTGGGCTCACTAACTCCACTTGACAGAATTCAGGCTTCTTTAAATATGCATTCATACAAAACTGACTTTCTTAAAGTTTCTTATCGGAGCACGAGACCACACGTACTTTGTTTAGGACCGGGATGCGTTTCTACAGTTGTGAATGACTCCTTAGGCGAACAACATTGCTGCTGCGGGCATTGAATCGGTTCTGCGTTTGTGTTTTTGTAAGAAAGTGAGGACTCCAAACGCGCAGTCTTCTCACCATTTTCAATTTTTCGGGGGTAACTCGGCGAGTAACTTTGTGACGACATCGTTTTGATAACACCAAACATCGAGCAAGCGGAACGAATGCTGGCTGAATTCGACTGGAAAAATCGGTCTACGGCTGAATCTAACGAAGACGATGTAACGGATTGGTTTCTGATGCCCCATTCACGCTCAACGGAACGACCATCTCTGAATGCTCTAGCTATGTGTACCTAGGTCGTGAAATCAATATGATGAATGACTTAGCACCAGAGCTGAGCAGGAGGAAGCGAGCGGCTTGGGGAGCCTTCAAGAACATGAGGGAGTAGCGAAGAAGACGAAGAACACCAAGCTCCGTGCCCACCTCTTCGATTCCGCGGTCCTTCCTGCCTTGACGTACGCCTCAGAGACTTGGACTCTACGAAAGCAGGATGAGCATGCGGTCGGCGTTATTCAACGCGCCATCGAAAGGGCGATGCTCGGAGTTTCCCGCTACACGCAAGTGAGAGAGGGAATCCGGAGCTCCGCACTCCGCCACGATCGAAGATCAGAGACGCCGCCGCATTTGCCAAGGTTTCGAAGATCAGGTGGGCCGGGCACGTCATTGTTCACACTCTGCGGTCCAGCGTTTCTCTGAAACGCGGCGGTTCGGCGAAAAGCTTTCGATACATATCGACTGGCGGTTGGGCGAAGAGCCTGGCGGTTGGGCGAAAGGGTTTTGGTACGTATCGACGGGCGTTTCGCCAAACCGCGACGTTTTTCGCCTTCGACAAAACGCTAGCTCCATCGCGGTGGCGTTTTTCGCCAGCGAAATCGATACACATCTACTGCTTTTCGCCCAACCGCCCAACCGCGGCGGTTGGACGGTTGGGCGATTCTCCGATCGATGACTATTTATTGCTTTTCTCCCAACCGCCGTTTCGTCAGGGCCTGGAGACTGTGAACAATGCCTCGTGCGTACAGCACATCGGACATTCGCTGGTTCAGAGCAATTACCGACTGGATTCCACGGGATGTCAAGCGAACGCCTGGACGACCGCCTACGCGATGGTCAGACTTCTTCGTGAAAGCTCTGAACGAATGGTATGAAGTTCATCGTGTCCCTCGAGCAGAGAGAGTTCATTGGGCAACTCTTGCACGTTGCAGGGACGAATGGAGACGTTACTGGCGCCCGCTCGAGGAACTCGATGATCAACGGGAGCACAGGTGATACAGGTGAAGGCTAGCAGTTGCAGAGGGAGAGTCTACTTCGCGGAGAAGTTCGACAACGGTACAGCACCCGCGATCAGACATTCAACGCTTGACTTTATCCACCTGCTTTTCTCGTCCTGAATGAACGTTATGGGGCCCTATTCGACCACAACTTTTTTCGTTCTTCCTTCTTTGAACTTCTGAACCAAATCTTCCCCGTTCCGTTTCAGAAATACCGCAACACTACTGGTCTGGCAGAGGATTTGAGCAGCGCATCTTCTCTTATTACTCCCATTTCCATGACCCGGCGATGATTTTGAGGTTTTAAGATTCTTTTCAGTCTCCTGAGTTTCTCCTCTGTGGCTATGTTAGCCAAAGTTTATGAAAATGTTGCTAAATGTGCCTAGCTAACAGCATCCAAACGTTATAGAAGCTCACCGCTCTAGCTCCTTTGTTTTCTTGCCAGTCCTCCTCATGTCTCCAGAGATGAGCTAACAGACAAACGTGGTTTCCAGTGGCTCGACCCTGGTTGTTAAAGACAGCCACCGCGCTCAAGTAGTACATGGTCTTCCTTCTTGTGCAAGTAGTACAGCCCCCAAGCTAGAGACTATCCCACTCTCGCGACTCCACAGCGAGCGAGGAGCGAGCTACAGCCGCTGAAAGTTCTAGTTCTAACGCCCGCTCAGTTGGACCGCCCACTTGCTAGCTGCCCTCTGACGGAGAGCCGCTCAGTTGTTCTTTGTTGGGACGGCGGGCATTAATCGGAATGCATGTCCTTTTTGCTGACCGCGCTGGTGCCAATAAGTAATTCTGCTCTCCTTTATTACATTTTATTCATTAGGAGCACATTCAGTCAACTGCAACCCATCTCGCAAGGTAAAACGCGTAAAAATCACGAGTGATGCAATTTTCGTAGTGCAAAAGCTCGAGACGCACTGAAAGATGCACGCTACCGTAACACCAACGGACGCCGAGTTTTTGAAATTTGTCTGTCAAAAGTTTTTTTTTGTTGTTTTTCGTATTCTTTTCTTTGCATTGGATGATATCTACTACTGGGAGATGCGAAAAAGCGATTTGTGAGCCAGGGGTTGCACAGAGACCGCAGGGCGGTGTGACTGTCAGGGAGCAATTTTGTTTGTGGTGTTCTTGAGGACTCTTCTTGCTTTTTTCTTTTTTGGGGAATTACTTATCAGCTAATGTTTCATAATTGAACAGCAACTATCCATGACATTATCGCAGGAACTGTTTTTAACGATGCTAGACCTGCGTCAGTGCGAAAATAGTGAATGTGCTATGATTGACCACGTGAATGTCCAGATTTCCATTAATCTAATCTAGAATCCTTTTTGTGCCCCTCGCACGGCACCCTCCCCTTCCCGTGGATGAAGCATCTGTGGATTTTTTTTTAGAAATAACGTTGTCGCCGTTTCAGAACGCGCTCTGACGCTACACGGTGGTAGCTGGCGAGTCAACTCTCATCATATCGTCAACGTAGGCGGACTGCAAACCTTATGTCACTGTCTCATCAATACAAAACATTCAGATGAAGTGTAATCTCATTTGAAAGTATTGCTTTAAGTGGAATCATTGAGAAGTATCGAGTCTTTGCGGGTGGGCCTTGTATTGTTGTGGGCACTATTTACCCTTCACTGCTCCTATCATCTGAAATCTGGCCACTTTTTGACCGACTTTTTTCTCCGTGAACGGAATTGGCTAATTTGTATCCTGGGGTAGTTTGACCTCCTGAACATGAATATCACATCCGCTCGGCACGAAACCTCCTGGCGCTCGCGCCACAGGCGCCGGCGCCAAAATACTCCTAAATCACCGGCGCCTGTGGCGCAGGCGCCACGAGGTTTCGGGCTGAGCGAATGTGATATTCGTATTCAGGAGGTCAAACTACCCCAGAAGACAACATTTGAGCCAAATCTGTCCACGGAGAAAAAAGTCGGTCAAAAACTGGCTCAATTCCGGATGACTGGGCAGTAAAGGGTAAATAGTGCCTTGTTGTGATTGTTGTTATAATTCAGAACATTCTAATAAACTTTATCATTCGAAAAGGCACACAGATTTCCATTGAAATGGCAACAAGCATCTAAACAACAAGTGTACTTTGAACAAGTGAAGCGGCTCAAGTGACATTTAATAGAGGAGTGAGCACCCTGGTTTGGAAAACGGAACTCCTTATGAAATTCGTTCCAATAGTGTTGAAGTGATGAACACTATGGGCAGTTGAAATATATATATTTTTGGGACTTTTCCTTACCCGCAGACATGCTTTTACTGCTATTAATGGCTAGCATTAGAAAGCCGAAGGTTTCCCGAAAGCCTATGGAGAGCTGCTTGAGTAGTGCTCAAGATGCTTCGGATGTGAAGTCCCTTAGCGTCTCGTGGGAGGCTGATTTGGGCCAATTCTTCGGACGAAATTGAATCGGGT